TAAATATAAAAGTACATAAATAAATAAAAGCCCAACCAGATGGAGGCCCTCGGCAGGGGAGACCAAACGGCCGAGGGTTAGGGGGAAAGGGAAAGAAACCGGCGGACGATGCGGGCGGTATCGAGGAGCACCGCCTTCTGCATTTGAACCCGGAGCGGTCCGCCACGTAGTCCCAGCCGCCTCAGATGACCCGAGAGGCTGACTGGGATTAGCCCGTTTGCAGAGACGACTACAGGAATAATTTCGGTCGGCAGACCACCCCACATGTCGGTCACCTCGTGAGCCAGGTCCAGATATTTTGTTTGCTTGTCTGTTTCGGCTTTCACGAGGTTCTCGTCATACGGAATGGTAATGTCGACCAAAAATATCCTTGACTGTGCCCGGTCCATCAGCACAATATCAGGCTTATTCGCAAGAATAGTCCTGTCTGTGATGATGGCCCGGTCCCAATAGAGCCTGGCGCGATCATTTTCGAGCACGGCTTCCGGCAAGTACTTGTAATACGGCAATTTCCGGTCCACGAGACCGTATTTCAGAGCGAGCTCCTGGTGTAGAATTCTGGCTACTAGGTTGTGCCTGTGCAAGTACTCAGAGTTAGAAAGCGCCGAACAACCGGAGATAACATGCCTAAGTGACTCACCGGGATGGCGACAAGCTCGACAGACGTCGACGGTGCCATCCTTTAGGATGTATCTCCGATAGTTGTTGGTCTTAATAACCTGATCCTGTATTGCACAGACAAAACCCTCGGTTTCCCCGAAGAGGTCACCAAAACGTAGCCAGTTGAGGGAGGCGACTGTATCTACGAAAGGCTCATGTAGAGCCTTGTAGTACCTCCCGTGGAGCTCCTTCTCCTTCCATACGGTCTCCCGGTCGGAAATGCTCTGCACTGCCGGGTCTTGCCATTGCTCGTTGGCTAAGGATAGAGGGGTAAGTCCTTTATCACTAGAAATGACGTCATTATAGAATGGATCATCCGATCTCGCCAGGAAGTAATCACGGAGGCTGCACACTTCGCGATTATGCATGGTGAGCGCGCTCAAGAAGCCACGACCACCATGCTTCCGCGGCAAGTACAGCCTCATTACCGACGATCTCGGATGATGCATCCTATGGGACGTCATTGTAGTGCGGACTTTTCTATCCAGGGCGTTAAGTTCGGTCTGAGTCCACCTGAGTATGCCAAAGGTATACATGAGGACAGGCATGACCCAGCCGTTATATGCGTGTGCCTTATTCACACCGGACAAAAGGCTGTTAAGCACTTTGGTCAAGCGTGCATAAAACACGTCGCAAACTGACTGTTTCATACCAGCCTCATCGATACCGATGTTCTGTGACATACCCAGGTATCGGTATGTTTCAGCCTCGGAAAGGGCCCTTAAGTTGACGGGCATAGATAAGTCTACGCCCTCAGAGTTAGCAACCCTTCCCCTTTCAACATGGAGGACCGCACACTTATCCGTCCCCAGCTCCATTCCAATGGAATTGCTAAATTCACAAGTGACGTTTAGCAATTCCATAAGATGGGAGCGACTGGAGGCGAATAACTTGAGGTCATCCATATAGAAAAGGTGGGTCACTTTTGTCCCTCCTTTCCGTAGCTGAAATCCCCTCCCGGAGCCCTCCAGTAAGGTACTGAGAGGGTTCAGAGAGAGGCAGAACCAGATTGGACTCAGACAATCGCCCTGGAAGATACCCCTTCTTATCCTTATGCGGTTCTCCGCAGCCATCATCCGCTCGCCCAGATGACAGAGGATCGTACTCCACTGCCCCATACACTGCTCGAGGAAGTCTCTAACTGTACAGTCAATCTTGTACAGCTCGAGCACTCTCTTTAGCCATGTATGGGGCACCGAGTCGAATGCCTTTCTGTAGTCTATCCAGGCGGCGGAGAAGTTCCGACGGTTGCGTTTCACCACTTTGCCAATGACCGCGTCAATGAGGAGTGGTTCCTTGGTTCCACGACCACCGCCCCGACATCCATTTTGAGCGCGCGACATCACCTGATTTGAGTCCAGGTGACGAGCGATTCTCGCGCTCAAAATGGATGTTAGTGTCTTGTATATGGTCGGTAGACAAGTGATGGGGCGGTATTTGCTCGGGTCTGTGGTACCCTGGTCTTTAGGAACCAAATGAGTGATCCCAGTAGTGAAGAGGCTTGAGAGCGACTTCTGGTTGAGAGCCTCTTGAAACTGTCGGGCGAGCACAGCGTGACACACCATGAACCCGTTTAGCCAGTAGTGATGCAACCCGTTGAGTCCCGGACTTTTCCAGTTCGGGGCCTTACGGACCGCTTCAGCTACGTTGTCCGGCGTTATGGTGACGGGGTCCATGGGCGTAATACCCGCACACTGACTCGCCACAACTTCCGTCCAAGGGCCCTCGCTGTGGTTTACGGGCTCTGACCACAGGCCGCGCCAGAATGCGACAGTGTCGGCCTGATTCGGTGCTGGGCCCGTTCCACTTACCATTGGTCGCTCCAATGATTTATAGAGCCTCTTCTGATCACTCTGGAAGAGACGATTCTGGTTGAACCGTGTCGACCTCTCGGTATATCGCCGAATCCGCTTTCCCCAAGCAGCGATTCTTTGCTTCAGGTCATCTATGCGCTCCGTCAGTTTTTGCGTTATATCCGGCTGGGACAAACTGACATTTGTCCCAGTAAACGCCATCCTGACGGTGCGCACAATTCTTGGCCTGTTGTTGCCTGACCTGAAGCATATCAGTCTGCCGATGAGGGCTCTAGCCTTTGCGATACGTTCCTCAATTCTTCTTCTCCATGCTGGGATAGCGCTACTATGGCCAGTAGCGCGTCCAGCCGTGGAAACCTTGGCGCCTATGATACGGCAGACTGCCAGCGCGGCGCCAAAAAGAATTGAGTCCGTCTCGCAAAGGTCCCGGCTGGCTTCCAAATAGGTCACCAGCATTGGGTTCAGAGCCCTCACGACAGCCCGATTCCGCTTGCTTAGGGCTATGCGGGGGAAGTCGCGGTCGATTTTCGAGAGGCGTACTGCGCGTTTCCACAATCGCCTCTTCCAATATACTCCTCATATGCTCTAATTCCAGTTCCTGGGCGACTGTTCCATCATCGTTTGAATCAACCACAACTGGGGTATTCACGGCGGCATCCACATTTGCGGGTTGCTCTACCATTTGTGGCGCCGCATCCTCAGCCGTAGCATTCTCATCCGACGAGGGAACAGCCTCACGTCGTAGCCGTTCGAGTTCGGCGACATCAAATATATTTGAGCGCAAGATATACCGAACTCGGTCTGCCAGGTTTTGCTCTGTGACGGTTAAAGATGGCTCCAGCTCAGCAAAAAGTCGATGCATCCTAGCCCGATACGCCAAACATCCAGTTTCTTCCCCTTTTGCCCTAAAGTACGCCCGCAGTGCGTTTGCATTCATTTCTTGTGACCAACGCATGCGACGTGCTCCACCAGCGGCGGGTGCCGCTTGCTGAGTCCGAGAAGACCCAGCCGACACCAAGCCTTCTGGTGGGGATGATGGATGCGGAGGGCTGGTAGGTGACCGTGCAGCTCCTCGCGCTCGGCTGGCGGCCCGCATGCTGCCGCGTCCAGCGCCAGCTCCAGACGCGCCCCGGCGACCCCCAGGCAGCGGCCCTTTGCGCACTATCTTTTTATCCATCATCCATTATTTGGGCGTCCATTAACGGGAGACGCCCAGGCCCGGCACCGTTTCGTGTGTAGCCATAAGCACAAACGGGCCTCTGCACCCTAAATTCTGCCGCGGCACGGCGCTCACACCTCTCGCAAGGCGCTGACTGACTGCGTTGACGTAGCAGTTTTGTCACTTAACTGTTACGTCAGCGGGCGATGGGGTCGTCAATTCCCTACGCCTTATTATTATTATTATTATTATTATTATGTATGTGAATGTGTATATTATGTTGAAGTGTTTATAAAATACATATGCCCGGGTAGAATATGCCGAATACCGAATATAAAACGAATATTCGGCCCATCTCTAATGGATATATGATAATTGATAACACATTGTATATTATTAAATTATGTGTGTACCATGGAAAATGCACTATGTTTGCTATATTCCACTTATATACTGTCTATCTAATACTTTGTTAACTCAAATCTGATATTTTTTTTCATTAATCATATGACGTAGCTCCGTAAGTAATTAGTTAATTTAATCTAAGTATTATGTATTTTGTGGTTCTCTGTCCATAATATGGACACATTATACATAGTTTTACTCATAGTTAACATACCTTTTACAGTATTTCTAGTCATATAGGTATTTTGAGAAGTCTGTTGAAGCTCATTATTATATTGATCTACTAGAAATGAATAGCATACTTTTTCATGTACTGGTATAATTTTGTAGGTATAATTATTATTATTATTATAATTATTTTTTTCACACATTGATTTTAAGTGGTTGTTTACCCACTTTGCTGAGTTTTGTTTTGTGTTGTTTTTCTCATATAATGTATACTATTGTTGCATGAATAAGTCAACTAGCGCCATCTAGTGTCAGGAACGAGAGCGAGGGGAGCATTGAGAAAATGACATCACAAATCGCTCAACTGACAGCGCCTAGTCGAAACTCGAACGCTCGGTACCTTCCGCGTGTTTACTTGAACATTCTGGATATTTCTTTGCTAATTCAAATATATAGGCGCTGCAAGATGCGATCGAGGCAGTGTTGATTTGGGCGAAACAAGCGAAGCTTCGGAGTGGAATTAAGTGAATTAGTGTGTTTAAATTATTAGTGTTTTAACTCTAATTGTGTAAAGTAAATTAAAGTGTTAATTTAGGTAATTTTATCGGCAATTTTAATTGTCACGAACCTCAAGCTCGTAACACTATGTTTTCTTATGTGCGTTTTGGAAATGGTCCATAATATATTTCTATATGTCTTTCAGGCAAATTAAATTATTAGTATATAATCAATCAACACCTCCCAAGAAACTGTTAATAATATTATTGTTGTATAATATTTCAATTATTCTGAAGCTCCTCAGCAAATTTGGCCGTATATTGCAAAATAACCCTGTATAATATATTCAATCTTAATCCTCAGACAACACAACATATATGTAGCCTTTTTGTTTGAAGTCCATAGGCTGCAGTAGCCACAGGTGGACTGAAAGTTCATTTGTTCACTTCATTTAAAAAAACACTTATTAAATACTATATGAAATTATAGTAATGAATAAATGTAATAAAATGTTTTAGTCAATGTTACCACTGAAGTTAACATTCAGTTTGCGCCCTTCAACTGCCTTCAGCTTCAACTGTTTTCGTGCCTGATTACACTTCTCAAAATTCAAAAATAGAAGCCTTATGGTCTGACCGGAATCTGGATCACCACCCGCCAATTGTTCCAGTGCATACACTTCAACACACTGAAATTTAGAACAATTCACCCTTATAAATAATAAAATAAATAATCATATAAATATTTTTAATTAGCTGTAAAACATATCTTACTAGAAGCAGAGCACCCGTTTGAATTTAAAATGAAGCCAACTTTTATGAAAAAAACCTAAAATATTAGTCGTTGAGCCTGGATATTTACGTTTATAGTATTTGAAATAAGGGTGACATACAAACACACAATCCATCTGATCATAAGTAAATGCTGTGGCCCATAGAGCCATAGACATCTATATCAGTTAAGAATCAAAATGCAGATGTGTTGTCACCCATGAGAACTAAGATGGAATCACTTGTAATATGTTCAGAATATAGAATTAGATATAGAATTGTTAAGGATGCCGAGGATGCAACCGCCCGTCACCCCGCACCGCACCCGCTTCGACACGTCTGCCGCACCGTAAGGACGAGTGCTTACACCAACTCGGTGCCTACGTAACACCGACCATAGGAATAAATGAAGCGCGCCAGGTGAGATTTCTTCACTCGCGGTGACTCAACGATAAAGACAAAAACAAGCAAGAAAGAAGACCCCTCAAGCTCCCTATTAGGTTTCCCATTAGTTGTGCAATAGTGTTAGAATATTTAACAGCCTCAACACTGTAAATACTGTAATAAATTAAGTGTTAGTTTCGTATTCTCTTTAATTTCAACTTAGTCCCTAGCAGAATAAAATAGCAATTAATTTCCATTAAATGTTTAGCCAGACAGATGTCATAGTATTAATTAATTAGTTCAGTTTTTCTTCTTGTAACATATTTAATTAAATATTGATAAATACAGTTCACTTTGCTCTCATACCTTACTAGAATTGTTATGTATTAAGCTTGGTAGCATGAAAAAGACAAATGTGATAAGTCAATATTAAATTACCTACATTCAATTTATTTTATTGGTTAAAAAAGTACACCCAAATAGAATAACAATAAATATTTGAATATGACTATCCACAAATAGATATAGATGTATTATGTATAGAAAATCTTTGATATGATACCTTGCTCCCAGTAAAAACTGTCTTCGGTTCTCTACACACTACATTAAGCTGATATTTTGCATTGATATCAGGTAAGAGTGTGGTCCTTCACTAATTGAGCCAACCTATTTGTGCTACAACTATAATATAGCTGCAACATGACTACATTGTATAAGGGTGTCGTTATTAGCAACTACGGGAAATGACAAAAAAATCTTATGGCTCTGACTGATGATGGTATAACCATCCGATATATGTAAGCCATAAAATATCTAGAATGGCGAAAGGCAACAGCATTAAATATGCAAGGCATCTGACACTGTTATCATCAAGCATTACGATTCAGACAAATCTTCTATATAATAAAAGATGCAATGTTGAGAGTGAGTGCGTAATGATTTCTTATATTTATGCGAACACTACACATTCAAATAATACAAATTTTCACAGATTTTATTGCATATATTAACTTTTTTTTAATATACCCAATATTTCCAGTACTTTACAGAACCCATGTTCACAGGGGACTGGGGGGACAGGGGGGATGGTCCCTGTGAGAGGAGTGCACTTTTACAAGCCTGTAAAGAAAAAGAAGGTAACAAGAAGTGGATATCTGCTCACACATAATGTAATATCACTAAAATAATATCTCCTCCATAGCTAATCTTTTTAACAGTATTTGAAAGTTGCTGTTGACCGCTGTAATAGACCAGAAGAATAATAAAAGTTAAATATAATTGATACCAATAAAATATGTGACATGGAAACTGAAGCCTACTTTATTGAATGTTACCTACAGGTATCCATTGAATTCTTCAGTAATTACTAACCACAAAGAGAAATGTATAAGTTTGTATGGTAAGTCAGTTTTAAGAAAATAGTAAGTTTATAAAATTGAAGATAAAAAAATTGCTCCACCAAATAATGATAGTCGATGATAAGATAAAGAGCCTATCCCCCTTGCTGGAATAATTAACCTATAAGCAGGTTGCAGGAAATCAATGTATGAAAAAGCCTATGTTACATTAAAGACTTATGAAGGGCCTTAATGATGATGATTATGAAAGTAAAGTTACAGCTTATATACAATTCCGCCTCATTACTTTCTTCTTTAATTTTTGAGAGGGTTTTAGGACAAGGATGTTTCCACGTGTTATGTGCAGTGCTTTATAGGAAGCACAAATGTTATTGGGTGTTAGAAAGTGGTTCAAAACGGTTTATGTAAATAAACACACAACCACTGCATTGTCCACTTCATTTCTGAACTTTTACAAACTCAACTGCCACGCTACCATGTGTCTAGAGTTACAGGCAGGCGAGTTAGAGGGTCAGCTCTAAGTGTTTTGCACCACAGTGCTAAAAAAGATTTGGTGATAACAAAGAGGTGTAATACTCACATGTTCCTGAATATAATCTGATATTTGTTCACATGTCCATTGATAAGGTATATTAGAAACTAATAAAGAGTAAACTTCTTTCTCCTCCTCTGCTGTACTGTCATCTGAAAACCTTTCTTCTTTAAAATTGCTCTTATCATCACTTTTGCCAAGACACTTTTTCCTTTTATTTGTACAAATATCTTTTGAAGTTTGATTTCCATTTTGAGAAATTGAAATAGAGTTATCTAGATGTCGCTTTCTTCCATTATTCTCACTATTGTTATTACACAAATTAGTGTCTGAATCTCCGCTAGGAGTAATAGTGTTCTGTGCTGAAGACACTAATGACATATGTTGGGTAGCATTTACATTTATTGATTTGATCTCATCATTATTACTTGATTCTTTATTTATATCTTTCAGACTGCTAGGTTTATCAGACAGAGAATCCATGTTTTTAAGTTCTATTATTATACAGATTTCTTCCTAATGCCAAGAGAACTCAATAATTATTTTCTGCTACTACTGGAAATGTAAGATTTTGTGTAGTAAGCACCTATTTGTTCAAACCTTGAAATTAAACTATCACACCAATTGCAAACAAATATTTTACTTTTATCTCATTAGCTTGGATCCAATAATTATTAATTATAATCTTTTTTTTTAATTCCTATAAGTTTTAATCATGCAATTTTGGAATTTTAATGTTTACCTGTTTACTGTTTACAAGTTACGGATACAAATCAGAGTTGCCACCTCAAAAATTATCTTCTCACTAGGACTGGGCGTTTTTTTTTTATGAAACAGTTTTACGCAACAGTTTTTCTCAATGAAACGAAACGAAGAAACGCTTTCTTATTTGTTCACAAATCAGTCCTTAAAAATAAAACGAAACTGTGGAACATACGTCGCTGGACGAAACGAATAAAATGAATAACCAGCACAGACCATTACAATTTACAACCAGTATGTTGTTTGTGGCAGAAACTGTTTTACGAAAAAACGGTTTTACTATTACTCATCCTCGAACGAGCGAGGGAACAAGGGTTCTATCTTCTGCGCTCACTCCTTTCACAAACCAGAGTATAATGAGCAAGACGGAGCTAACTGACGTTACTAGGTACACTCGCGCAACGTCGCATTTCTTGTAATGTTATAAATAATATCTTAGGTCTATGAGCATTACGCTGATATTTACTTAACAAATAAATATAGAAATAAAAACATTTTTTTCTTAGGTGGACAATGGACATTGTTCGTCCGGCCGAAGTTCATAATAAGTATTTTATTAAGCCATTATTAAGCGTTTCTTGAGTATAAATCTTTGCGTATTAAACCAAAGGAGACGGCATCGCAAGGCATACCCCACTGTAAAAGGTACGAGAGTTCGTCTCATACCCGTTATTTAAAACCAGTTGCTCCGCGTCGTGCGTCATTCCGAAGTGATCATGGTAGTAAATCGAGCTCCAACAAAATGCCAAACTGCAATGTATTTACATGAAAAAACAATCAAAAACGTTAGTATACAACAGGACAATGTGACTTTTCATCTGTGAGTATTTTTAAAATAATATTAAAGTAATTTTATCATTAAAACTCATACTTTGTGAATATTTTCGTCTAATACCAAGTGTGGCCATCATAATTCATAAAGTGAAAAATAATCTATTTTTAAATAAATATAATTTACTACACAAGTTAAATACATTAACGAAAAATATTTCCTAATAACTACATCAGTTTGTGATGAATAATAATCACTAAATACAGATGTGTAGTGGATTTTGTTAAATGATTTATATATTCAGCACAATTTCAACACGACAGGTACTGAATATTATATAATTTAATATAATCGATAACTAGTATTTATTAATATGTTATACAAAATAAAGGCCAAATAAGTCAAATCGAAACTTGCTACTTCGCAGCAAAAGTGTGCAATTTATATAAAAATAAACTGGTATCACTGCAACCGAAAGTATTGCATTATAGTGATGAACGCCACAACTTTAGCTATCGATAAGTTAATTAACCATGCAGGTTTGTCTGCCGAACCGGTTCGAAGTTTTTATTTAGATTTTCTAGTAAAGTATTACAAAAAGTAGTAAAATTTTCTATTACTGGTTTGTTTTTACAGATTTTCAAGAGATCCTCTTAGGCGGCAAACTTGGATTGTAGCTTGTAGAACTATGAATCTTAGATACCTAAACGGACTAGCACCATTTGCTCCAAACATTTTGGAAAATCATATTTCATACCCCAAGCTTACAATAAAAGAAGGTTAGCTGACACTGCAGTACCAACCTGGAACTTCTGGGAGGTAATGTTTGGCTGTAATTATATTTAGATTAAATATATTTATTATTACCTTTGACACCATTATTATTCTACTTGAAAATATTTTATTAAGTTTATATATATATATATATATATATATATATATATATATATATATATATATATATATATATATATATATATATTAATTATAAACTTAATGTAGTATAATTTTTGTATGCCATAAATGGCAAAACATGTAGCTCGTTTTAAGTTTTTTAACATCTGTATTTTTCTACTCATGTTTTACAAAATAATAACAAAATAATTAGTAAATTATTTATTTTAGGGTGATCGTGGTGATTGCACAATATCGTCTACATCAAAAAAAGAGTGCTGGATGTTCCGGCAAAATTCCATAAGTTATCTCGAAAGTCACAGTTCGAAAAAAAAATCCTTATATAGCCCGAACTAGTCCTACTCCCACTGCAAGTACGAGCCAACACTTGGGCCAAGGACTTCAACAGGCTTCACAAGTTTGCATTGCCTATGGCTATGTACGTAAAACTTTTGGAACATGTTTGCCTGCACCACGTACATTGACTAAGTGGTACACTACCTTCGATCGCCGACCAGGGTTTACTCAAGAAGTGCTGATAGCATTAAAATTGAGAGCGGAGAATAACCCTGATAAAAAAATTATTGTACCTTGGTAATAGATGAAATGAAAATTAATCAATTGACAGAATACCATGCTAGCAGCCAAAGTCATTATGTATATAACCAAAATGTCTTTTGGAACTTGCATGGTACTCCATCAATTGTTTTATTTTCATTTCATCTATTACTAATATACAATATAATTTCTTGTCAGGGTTACTCTCTAGTCTAAGTTTTAAAACAGTTTTTTTTTGTTTAGCCAAGTCGGCCATCAATTGTACTATACCACTTTGTTATAGTATGTGATGAAGGCAGACCAATTTCAAAACTTTTGATATTTCGCACGATATGTGCTTAACGATATGTTAATCTTTCGGTGAATAGTAATGTAAAGTTATAGCAAAACATCTTTCTGGGGAATGCTTAGCCCTAGGTAGATGTCATGTTTTATTTTTAAGCAGCTGTCTGCTTAAAGTTCTCTTTGTTAAACTATTATATAGTGTAAAACTTTTTTGTTTACCTAATTTATTAAATATTTTCCTGATAGTTCATTTAATAACTCTTGAAAATCAACAACTTTTTTTAAATAGTAGTTTTGTGATTGAAGCCTTATAATAAAAACGAAAACTTGGTTAACACCATCTAAGACGATAAACTGATAGGACTTTTCTTCACAAATCTGATTTTTAAAATAAGTTAACTGTAATATAAACCTCCTATTTCGATTTGTTAAATGTTTTAAATTTTATCCTGCATAATGTAAAATAAACCTATAGCAATATAATAAACTTATTTTCAATAATTTCTAAGTTTTTTCCGAAGATCATTTCTAAATACTTAAAAAAAGAATTTCAAATAACACCTTGGCATTATTTATCTATGTATTACTTATAATCAAATAGAAACTTATGCGGACTATGGTGATTTATTTATCGATAAAAATATCGAAATAGTCCACGCCTTTCGTTGCTTACGTGTACAATTTGATGGTATGCGTAAACGCGATGGACAAACACAAATGCTGTAGTCTGCGTTTATAGTGACACGATTTAATCATGCATTTGTAGTTATAGTGCCACCAACTTATCTGTTCAGTTTACAGAGTCGCTAGTGGAGTGCTTACTATTGCCATTTAAGAAATTCGCCGAGGAAATAGGTGACTACATTTTCATTAGGTACACATAATATAAAATAAAACAAATTTCGTGTTAATATATTAAAATTAGTGAGAATTAGTGTTATTATATATATTATTTATATTTTATAAAAATAATTGTGGTCGTGGTCTCGGAGTTCAAGCGGCCGAACTCCAGGAATTTCTGTTTTGAAAGACGTACCCGCGTTAGCTACTGATGCCAATAATTCATCTTCTGAGTCACTGGAATCGCTTTCGCTATCGCTCTGACACTCTATAATAAAGGGTTCATCTAAATACGCGTCTTTTAGTCTGTATTCATTTTCAATTTTTTTCACATGATTACAAATGTTTTTCCACTGCACCGGTGTAATTTTATTGAATGCATCTTCAATTAATTGGGGCATTAGAACATTAGATTTTCCAACATTTTTGTCTGCTATGTTCCTTTTCATAGAGCTCCATATCATTTCAATTGCGTTCAAGTCGCAATGATAAGGCGGCAATCTAAGAATAACATGGCCATAACTTTTCATCAGGTTCATATTCCGGAGCAGGTTTATTTTTCTTTATTAACTCATAAATGTGGTTTTGTCATTTGTTCATTGAAATCCACATTGTTTTCTACAAGCCACTTCTGCATATCAGCCTTACTATGGTTTGAATTAGGACACCTATTTACGCAAATACTATGGTATGGCGCATTATCCATCACAATGAGAGAAGGTTCATGCAGATTATGTAGTAATTTTTCATATACCCATTTTTTGAAATTAGTGCTATTCATTTCATCATGGTAGTCCCCATACTTTGTATTTGATTTAAATACGAGAAGTGCATTTTCCACAAAACCTTTTTCTCCACCTGCATGGATTATGATCCACCTATTACCTTTCGAAACAGGTTCCAAATCGCCATCCTCTTCAGGACCTTGCCAACATTTCCCAGTTGAGTGAGACGAATGTATGTAAGTTTCGTCTAAATAAATAATAGGTCTTTTTTCACCACACTCATTTTCTTTAATTTTTTGTAGGTAGGTTGCATGCAACTACGTCGTTTTGTTCATACAATACTTTTCTATTTGATTTTGTTTTCTTATAACTAAATCCTATTTTGTGAAGCAATTTTCGAAGAGTTTCACGTTCTGCTTTGAAATCAATATCTTCTTTTAAAATACTCAGTAATTTGGGTATGGTAGGAATTTCTTTTTTCACTGAATAAAATTCGTGAATTTTTCTTCTTATAACACCAATGTCGAAATTATCAACTTCTTGTTTCCCGGTTTTTCTTTGCCTTTTTTTGCCAGGAGTAGAAATTTTAGAATTTGATTCTTCAGCGTGTTTCTCTTCATTTACGAGTTTGTGTACAAATCGCTCAG